CTGGAAAAAATGGCATAGGGTATTATATTATTCCATTTCGGGAAGCAAAAACATAATGGAATATATTATGAAAAATCTCACTGTCCACTTTGTTCACAGTTGCCTCATAGGCTAAAAAAGTGACCACGCACAGTAATCAGATAATAACACACACACACACCCACACAAGTGTGTATTTGCCCGCTATATTGTCCCTCTTTGGTTGTACTCTTGAAGACCCCCGGTATGTTTTGTACATGAATCCAAATTGGGGAGCTCTCGGGAAGTGGGAATCCTATTGTCCTCTATTGTTCAACGTCCCCTATTGAATGCAGAAACAAACACAAACATACGATACATACATAGTTTTGGACATTCTTTTGTTTTCGTGTAGTTAAGAAAAACCTGTGAAAAAAACCTCATTTCACTCACACTGTGAACAAACTCTTTCATCCACTTTGATTACTATGATTCCCTCGACTGTTTCTTTTTTTTTTTGCGACGAATAAAGCTTACTCAAAAAAACCTTTTTAACTAGAGAGGGGGAAATCTTGTGTGGACGTGGGTAAGTCCACACAACGTATCTGACACCTGGTTTATGGTGACATCTTTTGCTCGTAACTAGACTCCACACAGTCAATGTAATGCTTGCACACACACAAACACAAAATAAAGAGAACTTATCTGAAATTTTCATTTCCTAAGGTTTCTTGTTTTTATGTCGGCTATTTTTTGTTCTCGTTGATTGTTAAGTTGAATAGGTTCACGACCTAAAACAGTATAATTCAGGTATTCCTAATAGCCTTAAAATAGCCAATAAATCTCAACACCAAGCATTCCCGAGAAAAAAAGTTGTTAATTTAAAGTTTAGCTGAAACCTATGTTCGAGAAACTGTCACACAAAGTTACTGCTTTCGTTTCAATTCGTTATTCATGTGAATGTCTACTGATCTTTCTACAATTGTGTCACTGATTGGCTCTACCCTGTTTTTCTTTTCAGTTTTGTTAAAAAAAAAAAGTTCCAAAAAGGTGGCAGCCTACTTACCCGGGTACAATATGTTGAAGATGGAGACAATTAGTAGGAACATGTAGACACCAATAGAAGCTCGCTTACCTGAGGCCATTGTTGGGTGTGTTAATTCGCACAAGGAAACAGCAATTCATATGTAATCGTAATTATTCAGCTTGCTTGATTTAACGAAACAAAGATCGCGTTATGCAATTTCACTTTCTACATTTGCTTAATTTATTTTTACAACAAGCAATGTGAGGTCAACGAAAGGCCATGAAAAGCTATTACATTTGTTTTAATCGTTACATCTGAAAACAGTACGGACAAAATGCCGGGCACTATGCCCTCATTTCAACTTAACAACTCAAAGAAGTAAACCTAGTCTGTTATGGACAGGGGAAATGAAAAAAAAAAAGACCCTAGGTCATTAAAGTACCCTGGTAAAATATAGCTTGATTGCTGGAATGTAATTAGGGCGCAGATATTTACATGATGAAGTTCCCCTTAAAGTGCCAGTTTGTTAACATTCAAAATTAAAATACGGTATCCGGTAGAGAGTGCGATGCGGAAGTGGGTGGATGGTCGCGGGTTCGATCGAGTCCTGGCCAGGGAAAAGACGACCCGCGGCAGGAAAACATGAGGCGGGTTCGTGTTCCGTGGTAGAGCGAGCCCAAATATTATTTGCCTTTTTTTATGAATAGATATATAAGACCGGTATATGTAAACAAATAAGTAAAATGTTCTGCATGGATGTTTGGCCGAGCGGGAATACAACCCACAATCTCCTGCATGAGCATCAGGTTCCCACAAGTAGGCCAAAAAAGAGTAACTATAGGCCTACACGCTCGTCGTACGTGACATGTAAACAATAATATATAAGTATTCTACTGGCAACAATGCGAACGAAACAGCGAGCGAAAGTCTGTATATAAGGTTAGCGCGCATGCGCTTTCTTACTCCATTCCCCCCCCCCCCCCCCCCTTCGAAACGACAGCTTAGTCAGTGCGTATGTCAACTCGTTCTGAGGGATATTCGAAAACTTCAATTGGTGACAGTTAAAATTTCTTACCAAAAGAAAGTACCTTTCGGCAATTTTAAGAAAAGAAAATGTTTTCGACGAATAGAAAGTTGGGAACCCAAATGTAATTTCATAAAGCTTGACCAAAAGTACCATTTAATACAAATCTAGCTCCATGCACTCACTAGCCTATTGATCGAGAAATAGCACACATGTTCAAATACTTTTGGACTTCAAGCTAACAAAACGGGTCGCTCGGAAATAATGGGAAACCTAAATTATAGCTGAAAATATTATTGTAAAATCTGAATTGGTGAATTTTACAGGCTAAAAAAAGCATTTTAAAGGGAAACGTACTTTCGAGTAGTTTAGAGAAAAGGCAAACTGTGCCTTGGTATTCTATGAAAAATGAAATATAGCTGTTGCCAACACTGCTTACGGATTGGATTAACCTGAAATTATAGCTAACCAAAAAGGTTAGAGGGCCTGTCTCCATCGTGACAGGACCTATGTTAACGCTAAATGAATTTAAATTAATACATTGTCTTTGTTGTGATTATATTTCTGGACTTAATTGAGAGTCAAAATAAGTGTTTGTTTTTACATTAACTTCCATGTGTTATATTTGGATGAAACAATGTACAGCAAATTTGATGGAAACTACTAGGACTAGCAAAAACAGGTGAGAGAGTTTCCAGACTTTTGTCTACCATCATTGTGAATCTGGGAGAAAGACGTTATAGTAGAGAAACATGTGCATCTTTCTAAAGACTTTTTAATTTACAATCTCATCCCTGCAAATAAACCAAAGTTTAATTTTCTCAAATGCGGAATGAACACATTTTAGCACTTTCTTTTAATTAAGTAAAGAAGTGAAATACAAGGTTGAACGTGATATGCTAAACTATTTTCGTCAAAGTTGTACAGAAAAGATTTAACTCAAATAGGTTACAGATATACAATTATACAAAAACACATAACGAATTTATCTTCAATCAAACTTGACGCAATGCAGGTCAGATGAAACACGCACGCTGTCCGCAAACTATCAGCGTTCATCCTGTGTATACGTGCGTGCTGCAGGAATGGCGCGTGCATCTTTGTTATCCGGTTCGTTAGTGTGACGTCATCTCAAGTCAACCATGTTTTCTTCACACAATGTAGCATAGCAAGAATGGAACCGGAAGCTAACGCATCCCGAGCGTTTATCCAATGGGCGCTAGTAATCAGTGGTGCGCGCGCGGGTATGACGTTTTTACTAACGAACCGGATAGCGCCATTTGTTATATCATGTGCTTGGATACTGTCATTTCATTGGTCTAGAACGGCCACGTGTCCAATCCGTAAAAACGTAACCTTTAATTTCATGAACACTGCTGCGTTGCATATAAACTATATCATATACACTGTGTTCCATAATTATAAATAAGCGTCATATACACTGCGCTGCTTATTAATTACGCGCGTTGCGCGTTGTGCGTCGCACTCGTGACTGAGAACTGCAACCACTCAGTCTCATGTCACAATTCCTACGGGAATGCATGCTGCTATGAAAGGTTACACCACAGTGTTTTAAAGATATAGTCCATCATTTGTAATTTGTGCATTTTGTTCGTTTGAAGCAACAAAAGTGTTCAAAATCTAATGAAGGATACTTAACAACTAACCTGATGAAGTTCCAGCTCAGCTTCAGCTGTATATTCCGAGAAAAACAGCATTCTAGGATCTCAATTTCAAATTAAAAGTTGCTGAATCATGTTTTGAATTGGGCCTGAATATAGCGTCCGAGACACGTTCTCACTGAGCCGGTTGCAGCTATACGCGATGTCGCGCACTGATCCGACGAATTATAGCAAACTGCACGCGCGTGTGGGTCGTGCCAATGCTTGCACGCGCTTCGCCGAATAACAAAACGAACTACTAATTTAAATTTTCCGACGGTGCGTCTTAAGACGCACAGTTGGATAGGCCTTCATTCGTTGATGACTTCAAAATGACAGCTTGCAAGGAAGAATAATTTCACAGGGAGTTTAGTTCCCTTACTGTCTTTCAACCAAGTATGTTTTTCAACAATAATTACGCCAGCTACTTTTCGGATAGCTGTAAATGATGGACTCTGGCTTTAATTTATTTCTTGCAAAATATGTTTCAACCATTTATCTGTGTGACTATTGGCACGATATTACAAAACATTTTTTTTCTGCTATGATGTGGGATATGTGGTTTTTAACCCATGGTTTGTTTCCATGGATCGAACTATCAGGATCGAGGATTCAAGTTTGCTTGAAGATAAATTGTGATGTACATGTACCAAAAAAAAAAAAAAATATTGTAGAAGAATAGCAATAATAAAAAATCAACTATTATCAAACAGTTTTTAAAGGTTTAAATTTCTCGAAGCAGTCAGAAATTATTTACCAATCACAGATGTATTTGGGGAACAGGTGTGCATGGACCGAGTTTTGGTTGAGAACTACCACTAGTAGGACGAAGTAAAAGGGTAGATTTATTTACTGTGCAGTGTATTAAAATGATTATTGGTGAGTGGGCCCCTTGTTTTATTTAAATTCATCGACAATGACAGTACAAAGTGTCGAATCATGCAAACAGTCTCTTTAAGAGAGTAGGCATTCCGTCTTGTTTGTTTTCAGACGGATAAGATTTGTTAATATAGCTTATGATATATGGGTATTAAGATGATGCCTTTCCCTAGCAGATGACATCCAAAAGGTTCAAATGCAAGTGGAACACTCTCCAACAGTCTGTCTCTAACATCAAGACTTTGAGACGGCCATGTTTTAGACCCCTTGCTCGGCGTGCCTTATTTAAATTCAGTTATCAAAAGTACAATGTGTTTCAGAGGAACAAACACTTGCTCTCAGATGTGACTTCGGATTCAAGGGGTCTGTTGTGCTCTGACTGCCTGAATGACTGACTGGCCGAGATACTGAGTGAGAGTAAAAAGTCCTAAATTGAGTCTCTCGGCTCGAAAGGGCAAATATTATTTTGTTGATCACAAAATTTGCTTCCCTCTTTGTGAATTACAAAACAACTGAAATAGTCGGTAGCTTTTTGCCAGAATAATTCTCGATGGCAGCCTCTTTACCTCTATAGCTTCTTGCTCTTTCACGCTTGATGTTTGACCGCAATTTGCAAACAGTTGCAATGACGCCGACTATGAACACAGCCACCGCAGTCGGTATAAGGATGGCGAGCAGCAATACCTCTGTGAGAAATAAGACATAAGACATAATATGACCATCAGCATTAGGAGCTTTGCAATATGGAAGGAGGCGGCACCACCAGCAAGCAATTGATATTAGGTTTCCTCAACTTAGACGTTTGTGCCCAGCTCGACTTAACAAAGATGGTCTCTTCAACATACCATGTTTGTCGTCGGCAATCAGTTTCACGGTCATCTCTCTGAACACTGTTCCTCCGTCGGGAAACATCGCCCTGCATGTGATGCTTCCCTGGTGATGCTCTGGAAGTATCTGCAGATCGATCCGACTCGAGGTTTCCCAGTCCTCGTTGCTCTCATCTTGGCGTGACTGACTCCAATCTGGAGGGATCTCTGTCTGTCCCATTCCCGAACGGGCCTTGGTATTGATCAGCCAGGTGATGTTACTGGCTGGATTCGAACCTGACGCGTTGTAGGCGAATCGATAGCGACTTCCGATTGTGACATCAGCGCTGCACTCCGTGTCGCTCTCACATGAATGTGTGGTGTTGACATGCAGGGTCACGGCGCTTGGTGGATCTAGAATAAAACCACCGTAATTTACGACCAAGCTTTTTTTTCGACTTTCAACCCGAGTTCAGTAGTTCAGTTTTCGCAAGGCAGGCTGGTTCCCGCCCTTAACCAGAATCGAAAATGTAGGGACCTGGATTCAGTCTACTTTTTTTTCACAGGGTTGCAGAAACTCAAAGTAGACTCGGCGAGCCGGTTACTTTGGAGTCGGTTACTTTGGGGTTATTCCGTGACTTTGGGGCGATTCCGAGTATTTTAGCAATACTCGGAACTCTCACAGCTGTTCAGGCTACACAGAAACTAATGACAAACATGTCGTCTTTCATTTTCCATTCAATTTTTGTTGGGTTGACCAATGAATTTTTGAGAAATTCTCACCCCCAAAAGACCACCCCTAAAACGAATGATGTTCCCCAAACTGGAAAAGTAGCCATTTTAAAAAAAGGTCTCCTGCACAACATGGCTAAATAGCGCCACTTTTGGACCCAATCACATCCAAAATGCTCAGAATCGGAAGCCCCAAGTCCAGGCCAGAGCCTAGTACAGTGCTATATATGTCTTCAATTCCCCAATTCCATGGCTCTCTGAATTCTCTAAAACATAGAATAATTTGAGTGCGTAATTGTTATTCATGAGCTCGGCGGACGTATTTTTGGCATATTTACTGGATTGAACCATTGGGCCAGACTCTAGTTAGCGCGACAAGTCACGTGAGGGTTATATCGAGAGCAGTTGCGGTTGTACGAGTATAAGCGCGGGGGAAGTAATCGAACGCTGTGGATCACGTTCAAATTAAAGAATATAAGGTATAGATTTAGCAATATTTAAAGGAGAGGACTACTTACACATTACGTTTAGTGTCAAGGTCGAGTTTTTCTCAAGCGGATGCAGCAGACACATCAACGTGGATCCAGTCTGGTTTCTGTGCAGCGTTATCATTTTGCTACTTTCAAGCGTTGCTGGAAATTCGTCGGGGTGCTCGAACAATGGATACCCGTTAAGGAGCCAGACTGAGTGTGAGAAATAGTCTCGATTGTAATATTCTCCTCCGACTGTACATTTAAACTCCGTCCCTTGCCCTTCTATTTCATACCGACTTATTCTGGACAATACTACCTCCTGCGAAGAAACTGGAGAAAATGACATTGGGATATTGTATTATTCCATTTTGGGAAGCAATAACAAACTGAAGTAGAATATTTTATGATATACTCGATAAAATCTCGATAAATCAAACTCTGATAACTCAAAACAACTGTTAATTCCAACAAAGTATCCATTCCCTTCAGCAGTATAACAATGATATACAGCCCTGCTTAACTCAAAACTCTGCTTAAGTAGAATTTTGAACCTGTTCCTTTGCGGTTTGAATTATCGAGATTTGACTGTAATACACTGTTTACTTTGTTCACATTTGCCTCATGAAGGCCAAAGAGTGACCACGCCCATGAAACCGACTACAAAATAAAATAAAACATTTACAAAAATATCCGGATAATAATTCCCCGCAACTGCTCCCAAGGTGTACATATTACTCTGACGTCATGATGACGTCATCAGGTATGAAATGACAAGCGATTTGTTTTCAAAATATTACGGTTTTGTCCTTTATAAATCATGAACAAAATGAACCATCACGCGCATACTCCGCGACCTGAAAGACCATACCTTAATGAACATTTTTAATTACCACAGACAAAGTCGTCTGACCTTTCCTTCCGGGGCTACTGGGATATTGAAGTTAGGTGAATTCAAAATATAGAAATGAGCCTCTAATCAAAACAAACCAAGATTTCTTCCAAACGGTTGAGGGGGTGATCATAAAACCTGGTATGAACTAGGACCTCAGTCCGAAGATGTTATAACTTTTGTGACGTCATCATGACGCCATCAGGTATCAAATCACAAGCTGTGTAAGTTCAATATTGGACTAATTACTTTGGATGTTTACTTTTAAATGATTGGAGTGCTGTTTTCATTGTTGGTGATCGATTAGACATTGCCTCGGGCAATATTTCGGATTCCCAGGCACAACGCTGTTTGACCTTTACTTCCGATGTTACCGGAAGTGATGTGAAAATTGAATATCACTTGAAAATGAAAGCCATTTACAACAGACACACAAATTATGGAAGTCCTTAGTCACTGAGTGAGGAAGGTTAAAAAAACAAAAAGGACGCCCTCTAGCAGCTCTTCAAAGACAGTAAAACATTTTAAATTTAAAAACCATTTATCACAATTTTACCACATTGCCCCTCGATATTCTTTAAACGGCCACAAATGACTTTGCAAGGTTTCAGAATCATGACGTCATCGTACCTGAAGTTATCGTTGGGAGAATTTAGAATGATTTTTCCCCATGTTCGTAGATTTAATAATGATATCGGGTACAATATTGATCTTCAGCTTCAGAAGTTCTTGTTACTTCATGGTGAGTATATATCCTCTCTGACTTAATCAGCATTCAGTTTGTACATTTTTACTGATGACGTCATGAAACCAGAAATAACGTGTACGTGTTCAGAAAAGTATATTGAAATTTATCATAATACAAAGATGCCTTTGTTAAAATGAAACTAATGGTTTCACTGGAATGGCTGAATTTCAGAATCTTTTGTTTTTCTATTGTGACATAAAAAAATATTCACAACTGGGCAGTGTCATACGAAATAGTTTTCGGTCCGATCACCTAGCATTTATAACTCAATAAACGCAAATCTCTAGGTTTTTTCCCCCAAAAGATATCACAAATGACAAGTGACAGACTGGCAACCTACTTACCTGAGCAACATTTGTTGAAGAAGGAGACAATTAAAAACAGGTATCCGCATGAAGATCGCTTACCTAGTGCCATCGTGTGTTAGTGTGGTGTGGTTGTTTGCACAAAGATATAATCATATGTATTCCCCTGGATTGATTGATTGGTTGAATGTTTTCAGATATACTGAAACAAAGATCACATGTCCTGCTATTTCACTTTCAATATTTACATAATTTATTACAACTACTGTACATGCAATGAACGGCCAAAGACAGTATACAGTGCCAGTCCAAAACATATACACTTTTAAAATTGGCCATAGTTTTATTCTGTAGCAATATAGATAAGATATGTTCATATGTAATTTTAGAGTAACGCTTCCTGCTTCTTTTGGTGACATTTTTACTTAGTTTTCATGCATGACTGCACAGGAGACAATTAAAGGGGTCGGGTGAAATCTGACTTGTGCCGACTGGTCAGGGCTGGATAAGAATGAGACAATTTAAAAGAACACACTATATGTAAATATAGAAAGTGAAACAGCATGAAATGTGATCTTTGTTTCGGTATACACTGTATAGGGCATGACAGGCAATTGCACTTTTTTATGGATGGAAATGTCGATTATTGCTCACCTCAATTCAACATAACCACGCAAAGAAGTAAACAAACCTAAGAGAACGTGAACGAGTAGGATAAACAAAAAATACTTTTTAAAATATATGGCTTACTCAATTTAATATAAACAACAATAACAGCAATAAAACGCAGGTTCTCATCAGCGTGAAAATGTCCAGTAAATTCCATGCTTTAATCAAAAGTTACCTCAATTTAATAGAAATACCACAGCGTTTTGCTGTCCACCGCTGATCATTCACCGATACGCATTGATGATTACCTTTTAATTATAACGAACATTGCTTTTCTTTCTATCACATGTATGAACGGAAACGTGCAAAGGAAAACAGACGAAACTCAATGTCATCATTTCAGAGGAAAAAAGAAGAAGATTTGTTCCCCATATTCAAAACACAGAGAAATATAATGTTTCAGTCTTGACTAAAATTATTAAAATCTAATTTGTATATGAATGTCCGTGTGTAATTTTTGGTTCTCACTCAGCTTCAAAGCATTCAGCATTCCAGAGGCAGCTGTAAAGATAATGGGTTCGGTTATTAAAACATGGCTAACTTTTGATATACCATGAATCAATTTCAGTATTTTTTTTTCACACGAGTGGAAGAACATCCTCGTTTAATACGTGTTTTAGTGGTGTATCAAATGTAATTTCTTTTAAGAGGAAAACATTAATCCAAGTCTTTGACTCATCCTGTAGGTTGTCTTGGAAATAAGAAATAAGAAAACAAGATCAATTATCTAGGCCTACTGGAACAATTTAAATTGCCGGACTTGACTGAAGGCGCAGATAATTATTTAGATGATGAAGTTCTCCGTAAAGTACCAGTTTGTTATTAACAGTGATAGACATATAAGGATTTTCAAATCTTGAAGCATCGAACCAGCCCCCCCCCCCCCAAAAAAAATCTCGTTCACAAATTCAGGGTTTCACTTCGGCCCAGTACCAGCCCTAATTATGTCCAATCTCCAAGAAGGAGATTAGATATTAAAGGGCGCCATTTTAAAAGTAGCCGGCAGTTTCATGGCAAATCTAAGTGCCGTAAACTCGATATCACTTGATTTAGCCCCGTTTAAAGATTGAGCTTTTGTATTGTCGAGTACAAATTATAATTGTACTTTCGAGTAGAAAACGACTCTTAATCTACTTGAGACTTGAAAGGAACTTCCAGTGAAAACGTCAGTATCATCGAAGATCCGATAACTCACAAGTCGGAGATCGTAATTTCGATTCCAACTCAGCACATCTTATTAAAAAAAAAAAGAAATTCCCAGTTAGAAGACGATGCTACAAATATGTGAATTGTTTGCCCCCTCGAAAATAGTGGTGGCCTCGTGCTAGATCTTCCTGCCCTAAGTCTAGAGGTAGCGGGCTGAAAACCCGGCTAGATTTGTATTTTTCTTTCACTCTATAAGTACAAACGAAGCTTCATATATTTGTAATTAGAAGTCCTGCTGAAGAAGTGCCGGCGTCCCGGAGGTAAATCACGGAGCTCCTGTTCCGGCGAACCGGGTTCGAATCCAGAAGTAAACTGCTCTG